AAAAATACAGTCTGTGGTTGATGTTTTACCAACTTTAAGGCCTCGAACATCAGCAGAACATGTGTGGAAAGTACAGAAAGGTTCCAGTTTTTTGATGTCTTTTTGGAAGTTTTGATTAAATGTCTCCAGCAGAGGCTTCGTTTTTAATTCTAGCCTCTTTAAAAATGGAACGACAGGGCAACACTTTCCAACAAGGATGAGTTCAGGGCCCCAGAAGGTTCCTGTAAGTGTGTATATTTTTGACTTATTCTTATTTCCTACTGAAAATAGTCTCTTGTTTGAAATTTCACGAACTTTTGAAGCCTCGAACATCAGTAGAATTTGAAGTGTAGTGATTTTTTTGCTTTTTTGACAAAATTCTGATTGAATGACTCCAGCAGAGGCCTGGTTCTTAATTCTAGCCCCTTGAAAATGGAAAATAAGTGCAACAAGGATGGGATCAGAGCCCCAGAAGGTTTCTGTAAGTGTATATATTTTGATTTATTCGTATTTCCTACAAAACATACAGTCTTTGGTTGATGTTTTACCAACTTTTGAGGCTCTAACAACTTGTGTGGAAAGTATAGAAAGGTTAGAAAGGTCCGTTGTTGCTGTTTTTACATGATAAAATGCTCATATGGACGCCATCATACGAGCACAAAACTGGTAAATAGACAAGTCCATATATTGTCTTTATATGTGCAAAGTTACGAGCTGCTTCCACATTTCAGTCACTTGCATCTGCTGGAAACATCTTTGGCGCCACCGTAACATCTCCGGCCGTGAGCAGCTCCCCCGCTGGGACAGTTCAGTCCGATAAAAACCAACATTGTTTTAAACATGAATGTTAAGTGTACTTCATTTTCTCGTTTTGTTAGAGCAGCTGTACTCACAGGTCACACGTAGAGGTCAGCTGAAGTGTCCCCTTTAGCTTCTGCGCTGATGTTGTTGGACTCCAGAGAACATCATGAGATGCGAGGTGGTGTCCTGAGAACGTTGCTCTGTTACAGCCTCATGCTTTACATCCGCTAACGATGTTCTTCTGTGTTTCCGTTGGTCCTCTGACGCCAAACTGGGAGCACAGACGTCGCATTTCTGTTCAGTTGTGCTCACAGGCCTCCATGTTGTGTTTGTTTCTGTGTGTTTCTGTGAGGAGAAGCGATCTGTTACCTCAGATTTCATGCTTTCCTGAGCCATGTAGACCTTCTGATGACGGTGTGTTCGATGGCACTGCAAAGGGTCACGATGCTAAACTCCGTAACGCCACCTCATCTCTGAAGCTTTTACCTTCTTATAAGCTGTGTGCCGAGGAATCTTAGGAGCAGGTTTAGGACTAAGCTGTGCTCAGATTTCAGGTTTAGATGCAGCTTACGGTCCTTCAACACTGTTGTGGAAACATCTGAAAACAAAGTCTGGTGTCTGGGTTCCATCCACGCTGTTAGAACGCTGTTAGAACGCTGTTAGAACGCTGTCAGAACGCTGTCAGAACGCTGTCAGACGAGTTGTTTCAGTCAAATGTTGAGTCTGAACAATCAAAAGTGCAATATGGAAATCACGGAAGCTGAAATGTAATTAAGACCAAATGTGTCGCTTGTCTGTTTGTTTTCTTTAGTTCAAAAAAATATGACCATTCCCTCTAAATCGTGACTCTGTCAGAGTGATCAGTGATTTATTTATTTTTTTGCATGTTGCATGTTGTTCAGTCCTGTCAGAAACCATCAGCTGGTCAACAAGAAGGAAAAACCACCAAACATTCGCTGCTTCCAGAGTTTCAGACGTGAATTTGTGGATGTTTTCTATCATTGCAAGTCGACCACGTTTTCAGTGATTCCCGTCGTCGGGCAGGAAATCCAAAGTGTCTGAATATTTAGTGATGATTCCTCGCTGCTCGCTCTGACAACAGACAGCCTAGAGATACCATTTTCCAAGATAATACACACTTCAAATAGATTAAAGTATCTAAGAAATAAAAGTAAAGTTGGCTAATTGGCAAGCAGGGAGCATCGTTGGGGTTTAGCGAGCAGCGGGCACCATGACTCCTGTGAGTCTTAATGACCTCCAGTCAAATGCTAAAGGCTAACTAGGATTTACGAGGACGCTGCTCCCACATCCCAGCAGCATCACATTACATGTCTGCTGCCTGAAACCGCAACATCAGCGCAGGAAAAACATCCTCAGGGTCGGTTGTGTGAAGTCAACAAAGGTCCAGTCACCAGCGTCTGAACCAGTAGTTTTGGCTTCATGGCAGCATGAATGGACGTGGATGGAAACCAGTTTAATACCAGCAGCGCTTTCAGTGTTTCTGAGGACAACAGTGTCACAGCTGCTAATCAGAAGGTGAGTGTTGGAGATGAATGAAATCAGAAGAAGACAAATCTCAAAATTGTGACTCAAGCTGGTCGTAAAAGCTCTTTTGCACAACGCTGTGAATGTAAAGGCTGCTGTGGGGAAACTCTGAGGCTTCGTGTCCTCGTTTATGAAAACGCTCCAGACAAAAGGTGAGCGCAGCCAAATTACGTTTTCTCATTTAGGAATTTGAATTAATTGTTCATGTGCTGGAGCACCAGGATGTGTACCCGACGTTGATCTGCTGGTCGTGTTTGTTCCTGAATCATGTTCTCCTGAAGAATGTACGCTCACGTCTCCACATGTTCTGCAGGTTTCATTCACGTTCTGTCAACGTTACACCAACTGTCCAGCTTCTACACGTCCAAAGGTTCTTTAACTTCTCTCCTCTGATCAAACCACAGTTTAAGCCTGTGACTGTGTTGATGTTGTAAAAGTGGTTATTTTAACAAATTTGTTTTAGAACCTTCACTGGATTTTTATGTCTTTTTTTTTTTTAATGTTTTAAGCTTCTGCAGAGTTTTATCTGTTTTCTGATGATCTGAAGGTGTTCTACTGTTCATGCTGATCTGATCTGACTGATTCATCTATTTATTTGACTAAAGCTCAGCTGATGCTGCTTTTTCATTCCTGCTTTGATTTTCTTTTAAACAAAAAAGAAGAAGCATGTAATGCTCACGTTTTATTTTGTATGTTTTCATTTGACCTGTTACCAAATCCTCTCACTCCACCCATTCATTCCCTCCACCAGCCCTCCCTCACTGCAGCCGTTTTGAAGTCAAGTGTGAAAAGCACATTTTGAATCCGTTTCATCACTTGTATGTAAATGCAGAGCAGCTGCAGCTCTGTGACATCAGTGGCCTCATTAAAGGAACGGCGTGACACTTTGGGAAATGTGCTCAGAAATGTGTGTTTTTTTATGTTGAGTTTGGTGTTTTATCAGTTTCTGAGTGATCAGAAGTCAGACGCACAAACCACAAATTCACATTTTTATCGTAAAAACACAAACATAATATGTTAATTAGTGAATTTTCCACCTTGAGAGGGAACCCGAGCTGCTCTTTCTCTTTTTTTCCCACAGTTTATATCAAGCTAAGCTAACCGGCTTTAGCTTCTGATTCAAAGCGCAGACATGAGATGTATTAATCTCCATCTCTTCCTCTCATCGATTACTTTAATGAGGTTTAAGGCCTGATTACTCCAGAAGGTGATATAGCAAAGCTTACTTATGTATCTTTAATTTTAAAAAAACAGCTCAACTGTGCAGATTTGTGGGTAAAAATTCAACAAAATTGAACCTGACTTGAAAATTTTAAACAGATGAACTGTAAATGTTGTTGCCATTCCTGCATCCTTTTCATTAAAGCATAACATCTCATTTATGAATAATCCTAAATTACCTAAAGAAGTGTGTAAATTGTAGTTAAATTCCACATAGCTTGAAAAATTTGCACTCAAATCAGAAATCTCCTTGTTTCTCATACGTACCAGCAGAAATCATCAATTTGGCGAGTAAAACAAAAACGTTCTGTCAATGTATCAGCTGATTATTTACATAAACGTACAGATTAAGAACATATGATCCCTTAAATGTGGTTCTCAAACACTACAGATGTAATGAAGGCAGGGTATGTTACAGTTCAACAGGCTGTGTTGTCCACCAGGAATTAAATTCATATAAATAACATTTTTTGATGTTGCTTATCAACAATTCATCTGAAGCAGAATATCGTTATCGGTGTGTCACGGTTTCACATTGCTAAAGGAAATCAAACTGTTAATTGTTAGCATTAATTAAACTCCTATTAATGTTATATTGTAGAGTCTTAGATGCTAACACTTGGCTTCCACTCAACTGACAATCTGTGAAAGTAGCTACGTGGTTTGCTAGCTAGTTAACGTAGCATTAACAAGTTTGATTAGCATTAGCACGTTTGTCACGGGAGAGTACAAGATGGAGACTTTCTTTGCATCTCATCGACTAGCTAGCAGGAAGTGATGCTAAACTTTCAATCTGCCACGTTACCGACTAAAACCGGCAAGTTTTGTTCAGAGTTATACCAATCTTAAATGCTTAACCTTAGCTTCCACTCAAGCTCTAACAGTAGCTACATGGCCTGCTAGCTAGTTGATGTAGCAGAAAAAAGTTTGATTGGCATGAACGACCTGGTGTTTGTCACTAGATAGTAAAAGATGAGACGTTGTTTTTCACTTTCCAGGACTGCAGCTCATCGAATAGGTAGCAGGAAGTCAACACTTCAGGAGATGCTTGATGCTAACCTTCAATCTGCTGCATTACGAACAAACTAAAACTGGCTAGCTTCCTCGTATAACATAGCAAACAGATGTCCTTTGTCAAAGACATGTTTATGTCAGAGTTGTCGAACAGTCTGACATGCTAACACCTTAGCTTCCACTGAACCGACACGCTGTAAGAGCAGCTATGTGGTTTGCAACCTAGTTAGTATAGCAAACGAGTTTGAATAGCATAACCAACATGGCATTTGTCACAGGAGAGTAAAAGTTAGAGACGTTTTTTACTTTCCAGTACTGCATCTCATCTGCTAGGTAACACAAAGTCAAGAAGTCAAGCTAACCTTTCCATCTACGTTATTGACAAACTAAAACCGGCTAGCTTCCTCGTACCACATAGCAAACAGATGTCCTTTAAGCCAGAGTGGAACAACAGTTATCAAGGGCATGTTTATGTTGGACTTATACTGAACAGTCGTAGATGCTAACACTTTAGCTTCCACTCAGCTGATTAAAGTAGCTACGTGGTTCGCTAGCTAGTTGGACCGAAGACACCGCTCGACTCCGCAACACCTTAGCCGTGATTCGTCCTCTGATACATGTGCTGCTCAGAGTGCGATCTGCTGGACAAACCATGTGATGACGCCATTTTTTAATCATCCAATCCTGTTTTTTTTGTGTTGTGTTCTTTTGAAACAAGTTTTCATTTCCGTGAAAGGCCTAAATCGGGCGATAAAATCGAGTTGAACAATTTGCAGTCAGCTTCGACTCCTTGTTCGGCGACTGTATTATAAAAATAAATTTGTCTTTTATAGGCCAAAGTTTTTCTCGTGTTTCAGCTCAGAGATATCAACCAATGTTAAAATACTTTGAAAGGAACTTGTTGTTCGCTGCACCCGGAGAAGAAAACCTGAATATTTTTGTAAATCTTCTCTCCACGTCCTCCCATCGTTTGCACTGCTTGCTGCCGTCTGGAACTTTCTCGCTTGTTTATTTGGTGAATTTCTACGTTGGAGGTTGTAAAGTGGAGAGAACTTGTTTTGTTTTTTTCTTTGACATGAATGGGTTTGGCTTTCTATGAATTCACTGTTTACGCCAATAAAATATATGCTGTGATTGTTTCTGTGGGTTTGTTTTCTTGTTGGGTTGGGTTTAGTACAAGGAACATCTCTGAAAGTATTCGATATGTCAATCTGAGAATTCACAGATGTCTTTGTAAACATGCAAACTTTACTTCAGGTAAATCAGAGATGGTTGAGCAGAAGTTACTCTAAAAAAAAAAAGAATGAGCTTGACTCTGTCTCCTCTCATTAAATTACATTATCAACCCCCTAAAATGAAAAATACACATAATTTTAATGGATTTGTGTAGTTTCGTCAGTGTCATGGTCCTTTCCCTGCTGAATACTTCCCAAGAATCAAAGGTGTGTGACGTAAGTTTGCTTGTAATTGTGCAAAAATACTGAATTTCAGGGGTTTAGATATTCAAAACTGCAAATTCTACTGATGCTGCAGGCCTCAAGAGTTGATGAAATGTCAACCAAAGACTGTGTTTAGTCGGAAACATGGACACCGCCATAAATATATGCACTTACTGAAACCTTCTGGTGCACCAATAGCACCTGTTTTAAAAACATTGCACCTTTTTTTTTTTTTTCATTTTTCCAAGCCACTAGTTATTCTTTTGCCCTCTGCTGGATCCATTCAGTCATTCGGATCAACTGGAAACGATTCTGGCCACATTTCATGACTCTGGAGTTTTACTTCTGGAGACACTGAAGCTTTAAAATGGCTTCTTCCTGCTAAGATGGTTTTTGAGGGTAAAACTTAAGCAAAACCAAGAAAAACAATATTTTAGATAATGTGGAAAAACTCGTCGGGAGAAGGCTTGTGTTTATGATCCAAGCATTAATTAAAAGTCGCTCATTTTTATACGTTTTTAAGAAAAATTGAACTGTTCTGTTAAAATAACTGCATTTTGACACCAATTTTTTTTGTTTTTTTTGTCAAAAAATCGACTTGATTCCACTCCAATCTGACTTAAATTCCTTCATAAACTTTTGAACTCTGCTGCTGTTTCGTTGCATTTTTCTCTCTAACGTTTCCTCTGCTGAGACTTTGAGACAAATTCATCCTCTAGAAGTGAACCGGACCGAAAGTTTCTTCACATCTGAGCTCTGAAATGCTGCAGGAAAGACTTCGTTTGAGTCCAAGCGGCTTCAGGTGCGTCGAGTCGTGGCACAGCTGCAGCGAGGTTTCATTAAAGCCGCAGAAACAAAGCGGCTGTTTTAGCTTTGACCTGCTGCTGCTTCATGCACACGTTTGCATGCATGTAGATATATTTATATGTCCTGTGGAGCTTCAGCAGCAAATATGTTTGCTTGACTTGTCTGGCCTCCAGTTTGTTGCTTTTATTTGTTTTTTTTGTTTGTTTGTTTTCCATAAGAGTAGGATCAACCTACACGTGTGTTTTATGCTCTGAGGAGGTTTTTTAGCAGCACTCAGTTCTAACCCGAAGCCTGCTGAGGTCTGACCAGGAGGCCATGAAGGAGGAGATCGCCGCCGCCGTGTTCTTCGTGGCTCGGCTGGTCAAGAGATACGGCGTTCTGGACAACGACGGCAGGGAGCGCTTCGCCGCCGCCCTCACCGCCGTTCTGTTCGAGAGCTACAAGAACCACTGGCACCCGAGTGCACCGAGCAGAGGACAGGCCTACAGGTCAGAGCGCCTTAGAAAACACTGGAAGCTGCCTCTGGAGGTGTGAATTCACCAAAGTCAGGGATTAGTGATGAAAACTGGCCAGACTGAGCTCAGGAAAGTAAGCAGCTGATAAACCGGACACATTTCCTGATTATCCACTAAAGGAAACTTTTTAAAAAGTGCATTTTGGGTAGAATTTGGACACGTTTCCTGCAGGTTCTCACAACGTTTCTAAACTACAATGAATCTAGTTATAAAGGAAAAACAAAACTGGGAGTCTTGCAGCAAAAACGCCCCAAAAAATCCTCTAAAAATGGTGTTTAAAAAAAGTACTTTAAAAAAAGTATATAAAATATCTTTTTAGGTGATTTAAATGCACAAAAACCAATTTGTAAAAGAAGAAATTAACATTTATGAAAAGTACAAACAAATTTTTGTTTTTTTTATCAGCCAAAATGTGATTTTTCTTTTCTGTGATTTTATCTTTACAAAATGGAAAATAAATTTGAGACACAAAACGTTTTTCAATCGTTGCTCTACATATTTTTTTAACGGTTCCAAACTGTTTTCCAAATGTTATCGAGGCCTCAGATGACGGAATGTTTTCTAATAACGTTCCTGTAATGTGATCTATTCAAGGTGGAACATTTTTAGAACGTTCTTCTGTGAGACATTTCCACAATAACAAAGGAAGAATGTTCTCCATGCAGCATTCAGAAAACGTTGTGGAGACGTTATCAAGTCTTCAGATGATTTTACGACGTTCTTGTGCTGTGATATATTAACAATGGTGGAATGTTCTGCCTGCAATGTTCTGGGGATGTTTTTGAGGAACACATTTTAGAAACTATGAAACGTTCCCACAATGTTGCTGATAACAAAGGAAGAATGTTCTCAGTGCAAGGTTCCGTTTTGCGATCGTTTAGGGCGCAACGGTGTAACAATGTTGTCACCAAACGTTTTAAGAACATCTGTAGCTGTCCCAGTATCTTTTCTATGAAGAACTTTCTAGGAACTAAAAGAAAACGCTCCACTGAAGCTTTGCAGAACTTTTCTGGTTTTGGTGGAGAACAGTTTCTACGCTCCAATAGAACCCGTCGGTCTCTGGTTTGGTTTCCACCTGGTGGCTGGAAGACCACTTTGTTCTGTGTTCTGTGTTCCAGGTGTCTGCGTATGAACCGAGTCCGGCTGCAGGATCCGGTTCTGCAGAAGGCCTGCGAGCGCAGCAACGTGTGCTACGGGGACCTGGGCCTCCCCCAGGAGCTGACGGTGTGGGTCGACCCGGGAGAAGTGTCCTGCAGGTCAGGATCCAGCA